TCAAACAATCCGCCCGCCTCGGCCTCCCAGAGCGCTAGGATTACAGGCGTGAGCCACCGCGCCCGGCCCAGTGCTAATTTTTAATGAGAGTGAAATGGTATTGTGTTTATGTTTACAAAAAAAATAACAGGCAAGGTCCTTCTGTGAGGGAGCTACATAGCAGGTGAAACAGGATGTCGTGGGCTCGCTTTGAGACACTCCAGCAAAAGAAACAGCTGGAGAGAGAAGGGGAGAGAGAGGGAGAGAGGGAGGGAGAGCGAGGGAGGGAGGCAAGGGAGAGGAAGAAAGGAAGGAGGGAGGGACGGAGGGAGGGAGGAGGGCAGGGCAGTGGATGACGAAGAATGGCAGCATTGATAACTGTCCAAGCTGGGGGATGGGCACATGGGGGCATATACTATTGTTCTCTCCACTTTCGTGTGTTTGAAACTTTCCGTAATAAAACAAAGGACAGAAAGGTCCTTAGCACTTTTTCCCAAACACGGCTGCAGGACGCTGTCATGCTCCCAGGAGAGAAAAGCCGCTGGTGGTGGCAGCTGGGCTGCCCGGGGCCTTATAGGCAAATCTGTGCCCAGAGGTACCAGATGCTGCAGAAACCCCACCCCCCAGCCCCGTGCAGCCCACGAATGACCCATCGCACTAAAGCAGCCAGCGCTTACTGAGCGCCTGCTCTGTGTTGGGCATGGCGTTCGCTCTTGCTATCCTGATCCCGACCCTACAAGCAGGCTCTGTTAATACGCCCATGTTACTGGCCAGAAGGTGACGTAGGCTGTTTCACGTCACTGTCACGTAGCTAGGAATTCACACCCGTGCAGGCTGAGATGCAAACCCAGACGGGCTGCCCCTGACCGCCTCCAAGGGGGGCTATGGACATGGTAAGGACACTTCAGGGGTGAGTCCTGTGACCCATGGAGCTAGCCCATCCCTGAAGGCCACTTTGACACCAACCCGGGGAAAAGGGGACAGCAAGAAATAGAAATCACTGTAGAAAGAGCTACATTTGCAGCTCTAAATAGTTGAATTTGCACTTGAATTTGCAGACTGGGATTTATAGCCCTAAGACACCCACCTCGAAGATTCAATAAGATGAAAAATGCCAAAGTGCCTAGCACAGTGCCCGGCACACAGGAGGGGGACAAGAAACAGCAGCCATCGCTATTATTATTTATCGATATTATGGTTATTGACAAGCTCAGAGCCACATCTTTCTCTGGACCACTCTTTTTTTTTTTTTTATTTCTTGTCACCTTACATTGCCCTGAGTTCGGCCAGGCTGTGGTCAGTGGACACATGCTGGTGATTAATCATTGCAAGCTGTACCTGTGATTCATTATTAAGAGGGAAGATGTCAGGGACAGCTAACGTGAATGAACAGGGTGTGGCTGCACCGTGCCGTGGAATATCACTCAGCCATGGGAAGGAACGAGGCGCTGACGCAGGCTGCAACTCGGGCGAATCTCAGAAACCTGATGCCCAGTGTGAGAAGCCAGACACAAAGGGACACGTGTCGTATGAGTCCACGCATAGGAAACGTCCAGAAGAGGCAAATCCATAGAGACAGAAAACAGAGGAGCGATGCCAGGGGCTGGGGAGAGGGCAACGGGGAAGTGACCGCTAATGGGTGCAGGGCTTCTTTTGGGGGTGATGAAAGGCTTGGGAAATAGAGGGCGCGGTTGCACAACGCTGTGAATACACTACATGCCCCTGAGCCGTACTCTTCGAAATGGTGAATGACAGCGTTCTATTCATTTTACTCGATAAAAAACGCCAACGCCACGAAGACAAGGAAGGGCTGAGGAACCGTTCCAGATTAAGGAGCCAGGACGACCACAGGCAGCGTGGGGTCCTGCTCCGGAGCCCGGAGCAGAGGAAACAAAGGCACTGCCGTGGGCGTCAGGGGACCATCAGGCCGGGTTGAATAGGACGTGTGGACTGGATGACAGAGTCATGTCCAAGGGGAGGTCTCCTGCCGTGGATGACAGCTGTGCTCGCGTAGGGCAATGTCCTTGTTCTTGAGAAACAGATACTGAAGTGTTGAGAGCTAAAGCGACTGGATGCCTCCAACTCACTCTCAGAAAAGTTTAGAAAGAAGATGATAGAAGGCCGGGCGCGGTGGCTCACGCCTGTAATCCTA